CTGCCCCCCCCCCCCTCTCCTTGCAGATCGTGCACTGTGACCTGGCTCTCAGGAACATCATGGTGAACAGGTTTCCCTGGGAGGTGAAGGTGGCCGAGTTCGGTCTGGCCCGAGACTTGACCCGTTTAACGAGCCGCCGCAGCAGCCGCTGGAGGAGCCCCCGGGTGAGAGCACGTGACCCACACACACTGTGAAGCCTGCTGTTACTGATCTCACCTGCAGGACAGGTGACGCTCAGAGGTCACATGACTTGACTTAAGTCACAAAGTTGAGGACTTGAGACCTGCTGGATGGACTTGGTGTCATGGCGGATAGCAGATATTTGATATTTAAACAGAACCATCGTCCTATAATCACATTTACATTAATTAACTCACCAGGTTTGTTTTTATTTGATTTATATTTAAAATAACTTTCACTTTCGGTCTCAGCTCCGGTCAAACGTCGGTGTGAGTTTATGTTCAGAGGAACTCACAGATGTGTAACATCTCAGAGGTTCAGGTGAATGTGAGAAGTTTTGACATGTGGTCAGTGTTGGAAGATCCACACGTAACTGAAACATCTGATCTGAACTTCGTCTGTCCGGTTTGAAACCATGTCAACTGTGTGTGTGTGTGTGTGTGTGTGTGTGTGTGTGTGTGTGTGTGTGTGTGTGTGTGTGTGTGCGTGTGTGTGTGTGTGTTTGTGTTGAGTGGAGTTTGGAAACTTCTTCTGAACAGGAAACAGTATCACGTGTGGTCTTGATGAGAAGCAGTAACAAAGTCATAATCACCCTGATATTTAACAGCTGCTGTCTCTGATTGTTGTTGTGGTTGTTGTGGTTGTTGTTGTTGTTGTTGTTGTTGTGGTTGTTGTTGTTGTTGTGGTTGTTGTTGTTGTTGTTGTGGTTGTTGTTGTTGTTGTGGTTGTTGTTGTTGTTGTGGTTGTTGTTGTTGTTGTTGTTGTGGTTGTTGTTGTTGTTGTGGTTGTGGTTGTTGTTGGTGTTGTTGTGGTTGTTTTTGTTGTTTTGGTTTTT